GTGATGCACACCTTAAGTGTGGAGGGAGAGAAAACTGTCCTTCAGATTCTGTGGAGAGGGTCTGCTCAACATCAGTAAATGTCACCTCTTCATCTTCTTCCGATTCCTCATCAGAGTCTGATTTTTGGAACATTCTAAAAGCTTTGATAAAATTGGACCCGTTGTCTGTCACAGTGGCTGTCACTTTAGAGCTCAGTCCATAAGCCAAATGTACTTGCTCGATTTCATTGCCGATGACATCATATGTGTGTCTCCCTCGAACTCTTTTACATGCTAGCGCTGCATGTCCTTCTACAACAGTAGAAGGATCAATCCAGTGTGTCGTCATTCTGAGAAAACTTTTGTTATGGCTGGTCCAAATGTCAGCAGTCGTGGAAATATATTCCAAACTCTCGAATGTCTCTTTAAGCTCCATTTCCATGTCAGCATAACACTTATCTAAGTAAGTAGAAAACGTTTTTCGATCATGCAGTGCTGCCTTTTTGCCACACACAGGTATTTTGTTTAATATGCACCTAAAAGACGGAGACTCTACAGTACGCAGCGGTAGCATCTCTTCCACAACGTAGCCTGCAATCATTTTCTTAAGCTCACCATCAGACACTTTCTGTGTTGCTGAAGTGAAATCAAGTTTCGTCTGCTCAGCAGGAGTTGCCGCGGTGTTATCCATGGATGATGAAGATGGCTCACTCAGAAGGCTTTGTCTGTGTTGCCGTGTCAGGTGCTTCAGCAGATTACTAGTGCTATTGACAACGGCCGATAATTTTTTCTCCCCAGGACATAGCTTACATATTACCGTAATGTTCTTGTCTGCTTGTTTTAGAAAAGTTAAGTGACGGGAATATTTCCATTTCATAAAACAGGCCCTCGCTTCAGCCGAGTCCGACATCTTCCGCTGTAGAATACGACTATGCGGGAAACTGGCGTGAAATGACGTACAGCTGCACTACAGCGATTTTAAAGCGGCAGAGTTTATTTTTACCTTTAGAAGATAAATTATTGAAATTAAATAATGATTTTCAGCGAGTTTAGTTATTTTACAATGTAACGCAAGTACATTGTAAGTAACTGTTTTTAAAATACCTAAAAATGAACAGTAATTAGTTAATCTACTTTTTCAGTGGAAAAGTAATTTAAATACAGTAACACCCAACACTGGTGACAAGTGATAATAATAACAACTGTACTGCATTAAAACATTCAAAGCAGGTGGGATATCCAATCTTTAAGGGATGACCTGATGAAACCTGCTTCCTGCTTCACTGTGTTTATATTATGTTAACCATAGCTGTGTGGCTAGCCAACACAGAGCACATCATTATATACCAGCTAGCCTAACTTCAGTAACCCTACAAACGCCACTGCTGTTTAGTTTTCTGTCTTAATTTAGGTCGGAAGTGATTGCAGAGCTGTATGTTTTAATTTTTGCTGTGGCAGTTAAGCTGCCGGATTTTAGGGCTTCATGACCCTCCTTGCTTGGCAAGTTTTACTAGCTGAGCTAGTAGTTAGCAAGTATTTGCAGGCAAGTCCATCACTTCCATTGAAACTATGACTGTTCAACGAATTTTTGCCAATTGTTTGGCGAATATACATTTTTCTCAAAGGGATAGACAGTTACTGGGCGATACTGACCATCAAACTCCAGACCACTCTCAACCAGTCTGTGAATACCCATTTTTCACTCATGGTAGCCGTTTCCAGCTGCTCGCAGACCAGTTTCCAGGGGTGTGTGAGTGTGGTGTTATTCACTAATCCCTATGTCATCACCATTATTGTAACACGTTCAACATGGCAGACAAGCTAACATTGCATGGTTGCATGTAATGTTAGCTGTGTCTGGAAAATCTAAATATGACTGTAAATCTTTTTGCAAACACAGATCTCGCCATCTGGTGGCCTTCAGATAGAGTGTAAGTTAAGGAGGTTCTGGAAGCTATGTCCATGTTTTATAGTGTTTATGGTTGCCACTACATTGATAAATTTGCTCAACTTGCGTATATATATATATAAAAATTCCCCGCTCGCCCCTGCGAGTGGTCCTCTACGATAGGCCTGGGAGCTTGAGGGTCCTGCGCAGTATCTTAGCTGTTCCTAGGACTGCGCTCTTCTGGACAGAGATCTCCGACGTTGTTCCTGGGATCTGCTGGAGCCACTTGCCTAGTTTGGGAGTCACCACACCTAGTGCTCCGATTACCACGGGGACCACTATTACCTTCACCCTCCACATTTTCTCGAGCTCTTCTCTAAGCCCTTGGTATTTTTCGGGCTTCTCGTGTTCCTTTTTCCTGATGTTGCTGTCATTCGGAACTGCTACATCTATCACTACCACCGTCTTCTTCTGTTTGTCTACCAGCACCATGTCCGGTTGGTTTGCCTCCATTTTGTCTGTCTGTGTGTATGTATGTGTATGTGTATATATATATATCTAACGAGAGAGAGAGATACAGATATATAGATATATTCTTTTTATTTATTTTTTGTTAAAATAAAGTAAAATACAGTAGCAGCTTTACTGTTAAACGCCATGCTTGCCCAGAGATTTGTTAGCTACAAAGACAAAAATGGCAATAAGCCCCGCCTACCCGTGACATCAGAGCACAATCAATATTTTGGATTTTGGAGGGGGGGTAGTGTGCGTTCCAGTTAATTGTTGCACTGTGAAATACACTTTTTTTCTGAGTTTTGTTCAGTTAAACCCGGGATTATTTCCCAGCCGTTTATGCCCGTTCCCCACCCCCACCCCTCGGCGGGGTTAACAGAGCCCGCCCTTCTCTCCCCAGCAGCCTCCGCCTCTCTTCCCTGGTCTGTCATCCACACCGCTGTTGTTGCAGCCATTTTACCGTGGAGCGTCGGCAGGCACAGCGACCACCGGAGGATGCCGAGGGAGCACCGTTAAAAGGTAATTCCGCTTTTTTCACGAGCTCTTTAAATTCAATGGGTAATCTTTACATTTCTGACCGTGCAAATGCGTCGGCTAGTGTCTGACGAGTGGAGGCCCAGCCGGCAGGAGGGAGCTCAGGGAGCCTCAACAACTCGTAGCTGCTCAAAGAGAAGAAAGATCGTTGGGAGAATGTTTGGCGAGCGAAGCTTTCTGCTGCCACTTCACATATCCGTGCGAGAAATGGCGACGTCTCCTATAAGACTGCTGAAAGTTGTAATATAAGCTTACATGCGTTGGCTTCGTTTGATCCAAGTTTAAGCGCGCTGTAAAAGCAATGTTTTTGTATAAATTGGACTGACTCACGTTGGCGCATTCGGCAAGGGGGCGCACGAGAGCAGCGCGAAGAAGGGGGGGCTCGAGAGCTTATTTACCCGTCGATATTTCCGTTTAATCATTAACTGGCTAGCCTGTTTTTAAATGTGTTCTGTCACTTTTTACTTAATAGGAACAACATTTTTGAGCTTCTTTATTCATTCTAATTAATTAAACATGACTTTAAGTCCATTAGTGTACTGTTGAAAATAAGGTAAGGCTAGCTGAACTTTTTGTTTGGGGCAAGTCACGCCCATCACCCAGCAATCCGATTGTTAAGTGATGACGTGACGAATCCTACTTCCGGGTCTAAAGTAGTCTGCGTTTAATATGGCTTTTGTGTTGTTAACATGTTTAATGTTATGTATTTTCTTCTATTTAATCGCAAAAAGCTCCTAAAACAGTCAGTGATCACTGTTGACCTCCCTCGGCTTTTATTACCGCTAATCATTTATTTAAGCTCAGTTTTTAAAACCTTAGGATGTAACTACAGCCCATCCCATGCAGTAGTATATGAATGACTAACCTCGTATTGTGGATGGATTATCTCAGTTGTTCTCCTGGCTGAAGTTTGGTCCTTTTACAGCATCCTGCCATGCGATTACATTTGTTCCTGACCACCGAGAACACTCACATTAACTTTTATCGAGTGGAAAAAAAGTTAGCTTGTTTATATTATGCTAACATAGCTGTGTCGCTAGCGGTCACGTAGCACATCGTTATATACCAGCTAGCCCAAATTCAGTAACCCTACAAACGGCACTGCTGTTTAGTTTTCTGTCTTCATTTATGCTGGAAGTGATAGCAGAGCTGTACGTTTTAATTTGTTTCCAAAACCCCGCAGTCAGGACATGCTATATTGTATTTAGATAGAAGCTAGTGAGCTAACTCCCTGCTAACTTCTAACTCCGTTAAATGTCATGAACTCCGTTTTCATGGATGCCTGGATGTTAAACTCAATTGTTACACCTGGTAGAGCAGAACGCTGATCATTTTATTAAAGATGAAAGACTTTAGACAGTTTTTCAACTCTCAGTAATGCCATAGTGATCGTTTGATATATGGACCTGCAGTGGAGTTTAGGTCCAGACACGGCTAGTGACGTCAGACTGAACAACCGGATAAGTTTGGAGCGTTGTCAGTTTCATATTGCTAGCATTCATTTATAGTTTCTTGTACTCATTTTCCTTTTTAGGCTTACAAAAGTGTGTTCATGCCAAACAGAAAGTAACTTAAGCTTCATGTTACATCTACTGTTTGTAAAAACCTTAAGATATTTGTTTCGAGCAGCTGGTGGGAGGTGAAGTAGGACTCCTGCTAGGTGGAATCAAGTTGCAGAGCAATGACACAAGTTCGTACACAAATGTTCAGTTTAACTTCTTTGTTGTTGGGTTTTTTTGTACTCATTAAGTCTACGCTTTAAGTACATCATAACCACAAAGCTCTCAGAAATCCTACGTTGTAACCTGACATGCATCTACACATTACATTGCCCCAACCCGCAACTATTATGATTGGTCTTCTCAGTACTGTTGATTCCTCATTTGTTCTTCTGGTGATTTTATGTCACCACTTTTAGATTTTTATTTTATTTTATTTCTTCAGTAAAAGAATACAAATGTCTGCCTCGACAGAAAGGCTCTGATAGTAGCAAATTCTTGAAGGCTGGTTGCCAAAACTAGCTAAAATGTTTGCAGGGAATGTGGAAAGTGGAAAAATTTGAGCAGTGAATATAAATATATTTTCTTTAGAAAAATATTAAAACCTGACCACAGCAAAGAGTGGGCCTCTTCGTCCGGGTTAGGTATTTAAAAACATCTTGGTGAGTGTTAGGATTAAAACTACTCTGAATTAGGATGTTGTGGTTTGGGTTAAAATACTGTCGTCACTACTTGGTGTTGGGAGCTTCTTTTTTTTTTTTTTTTTTCATAAATAGAGGCGAGATTTCAAGGAAAAATACAGTTCGGTTTTTACTGGGAATTGTTTGACAATTGTGTTAGATTGGTATCATGCTAGCTTTACAGAATGAAGTTTGGATTGGACTTAGCTTTTGTTTTTTGAAGGAGTTCCACACAACGCTAGCTGTGTGGTCACTTCAACACACACGGCACTTGAACGAGCCCTTTTCCACTGACTCGGGTCAGCTTCACATGACTCAACTTGGTTTTTAGTGTTTTCCTTTAGGATGTACTATTTGGTACATGGTGCTTTTGTAATACCTACTCTGCTGGGATTCCAAATGATCTGAGGTAATCCAAAAGTCAGTAGACTGCCGATTTGGTACATGGTGGCAGCACGTGAGCCATGAGCGTGACTGCGTTACAAAATTCAAAAGCATTATTTTGCAAACCTGGCAATGAGGGGACTGACTACACAACAAAACAAAAACTGTGGTCACTGTCTGACAAAAAGCCATACAACTAGCAGCAGAATTGCCTCGATGTCCTTTATTGCTGTACTGTTCATGTCGCATAAAAATTACGTTGCAGGACTTTAGGTTGCATATATAATGACCTCACAAGCATAATTACAGGGTTCGTACGGGTGCTTGAAATCCTTGAAAATGCTTGAATTTTAATGTTGTCTTTTCAAGGTTTGAAAAGTGCTTGAATTTCAGATGTGGTGATTAAAAGTGCTTGAAAGTGTAACTGTATTTCATTCACCACAAATAACTATCTGAATAGTTTTCTTGTCAGATAGAGAACTAAAATGAGTCGCAAAATGTAAAAGCAACATATCTCCGCCTGGGCTGCCTTACGTCAGTTTCAATGTGTGACCCCGCCCCCCCCTCGGCCAGTTGGTGATGAGTGCGCTAACATACCTGTAGGTCGCTGTTTTAATGAGTGTTTGATGGAAAACGACAATGGCGGAGTTTGTGCTCTCTAGTCGCATGATAGGTGAGTCCTAGTAAATAATTTTCCAGTACGTGTACGTTACACATGCTATTTTTTTAAAATTATGATTATTATTTTGCTAGCTATCAAACTCACTGGGGAAATGATTGAAATGCACTGAGTGATGCAGTATGGCAGCGCTATTATGAAATATGCTGTGAACTTAGCTAACATTACTTAGCAGTAATGTGAGTTAATTTACTCAAGTGAAAGCTTTAAACATTAGCCCGATACATAACTAGCCAACTTAAGGCTTTCTGATTAACCCTTTGGGGTTGACAGACCCAGAGTCTCCATTTCAACTTGGGTTGAATGTGCGGACATCAAACTATATACCAGTTTTTAAATTATGTTGATAGGCCACGTAAAACCGATGTGTTTTGTTTTTTTTTTTCTGAATAAAACAGTGGCGTTTACTCCGGGAAGAAACGGTTAAAACGCAGTTTTCTAAGGAGAGTGCTAGAAAACACGCTTTGCTTGGGAGTGAAAAAAGAAAAAAGAAAAAACACTCCTTCCCTATTGGTGGAAAAATGTACCATGTCGACCAATCAAAAAATGATATTGCAACATGTGGCATTTGGTTATTTGGGAAGAGGGGAAGTTTTAGGAGTGACCGGCGAGAGAGAGAGCGAGCGAGTGAGTGAAAGAGAGAGAGTTTTGATACATGAGAGATTTGTGACGTTTATCGTGTTTGGAGTCTCAAGTTAGTGTGTTGTCTTGTGTAGTTAGTGTGTAGTGTAGGCGTTGTTTTGTTTTGTGTGTCAGTTCTACTAGTGAATGTCACAATTGCTGCAAAAAAGCCACCAAAGGCAGATTGCAGTGTAAATGCTGAGTGACACACCTGCTGTCAGACCTGCAGGTTTATCCCTGTGCTGTTCTCATCTGTTTTATAGTGTACACACTAACTATTTTTTGGAGTTGCATAAATAATTTGTGTGCCTTCTTATTTGATGCAGAACACTTGATTGTTCTCTAAATAGTTTTAAATGGTTATATAAAAAAACGTCTGAGCCTTGGCTGCATTTTTAGGTAAATAGTACCATATAACTTTGTTGTTTGCAAAGCTTGTGCATATTTTTTTTAAAAATGTACAATTTCTATTTGCATTACAAGTTATGAAAATGATTCGTTAAACATGGCTGTGGTTTTTACAGTCTAAAATATCACTTTCTACTCGTATTTTAAATTTTGTCTGAATTTAGATAAATTGTGCTGATACAGTTTGTCAAAATGAGAAAATAACAGATTGGCAAGATGAACAGGTGAAATATAGAGGCCAAATCAAAAGTAGTCAAAAACAGCCAATTATACCCTGGACTCCAGAGGGTTAGAGGCTAAAAGCAAAGTTGTCACCAAGTACTGTTTATATTTGTGTGTATTGCTGCAGCTTTTTTGAGTATTAACTTGGTGCTTTTGGGTGAAGTAATGGTAATATGAGGGAGCGATCCATATGGTCACAAAGAATAGCCACTTGTTTCTGTGCTACCAAAGTTCCCCGGCTTTCATTCTAAATGTGTTTATCGTCAGCACCTACACATTAAACTACTTAAGCATTATAAATGTCTTCAAGCTCACACTGAGGCCTGTGGGGCACTATCCAGCACTGAGACTGTAGACACATTTATGTGTTTTTGTATATGAATATTTCATACTTTAAGGTAGGGGTGGGCGATATAAACGATATACAATAGAAATGATATAAAGTTGGCCAACAATAGAGCGGTATAGTCATAATCTCTATCGCAATAGTGC